CTTTTCTACCTTCGTCTTTGAAACACTCTTCTGTCCCCCCCCCCCCATCTCACAAATTTCTTCCACTTTGATGTTCCTTCCCCTCTTTGAGGCCTGAAGTCAACTAAAGAGCTAATGATAACCATCAAAACGCCTGTCATTTGATATAAGTAAATAAACTTTGATTTTACCTAGATCCTAACTTAAGGAATCTTTTGAACCATTTTGATAATATCGAGCATTTAAGGGATAGAAACGGGGGTCAAAAGAGTGCACGTGAAGCGTATTTACTTACCAGTTATTAAACAGAGTAAATAATGATTATTGGACAATGTCACTCACGTTATGTTCAACAATATGTTGAATTAAGAGGTATTAGCAAATTCAACAGCAACCAGCGTAAGGAGTCGGTTACTGCTTATCTTATGACTGTCTCCTTCCCTCTTATCTATTTAGAGAAATGCTTTGCATAAACAGTTAGAATTTTACCAAACACCTCTGTCCATGGACACTGAACCCTAGAAGAGCTATTTATTTTATCAAACTAATTAGTGAACCTCTTGAGTACGCTTTGGTTACTTTTCTGACGCTCTTTAAGGGATTCTGTAAAGTCGAGAAAATTTGTTCTCTCAGATTTATTATTATTTAGTTAAAAAATTTGAAACGTATTGGAATTCATAACTTGTGGAACGAATTCATATCTATGAAAATTATTGATAAATGCATCTTTTAAACTTCACATTGTTTAGTAAGTCGTAAATGAGGGAGACTGGTGCGTCAATCGTCCAGGATTCGTAATATTGCTTCAAATGGCAATTTCTACTGATTAACTGTTAGTATAAACGAATTAATGTTCAATATTTTATCATGCTAAATGCCACCAAATTGGAGAAAATAAGGCAGGAATTTTGAAAATTTAATTTAATTTAAGTATTAATGTAAACTGGGAAACCTAATATCTCCAATCAGACAATTTAAGAATCTTTTTCTTTGATTCTGCAAGCAAAATTTTTAGCAGAAAATGCAGCAATTGGATGAATGTGCTTTGATATTTTCAGCGGTTCTACTGTTCATTAATCTTTAGAATAACTAAATGTCAAAATGCCATTCTCGTTAAACTTTCAATATCAGTTCAAGTTTCATTTGTTTCATTTTCATAAATATTTCCGATTTTGTTATTTAAATAACTTTTTCCTTCTTATTTGGAGCTAATAAATAAAAAACTTCAAATTTAAGCTACTGGCTTCTTCTCTAGTCTGAATCAACTTGTTTAAGACAGCTTGACACCTTTCAAAATCAATACTATTTGGTTGAATCTTTTACACATGTCTACGTCACTAAGTCCTCCCAAACTTAACATCGAGACACAAATAACCTAATTAATCTCCTATTACTCTACTCTAAAAATTCTAAATAGATGAAAAGAGGCTTATGAGTGTATTACCTGCCTCTATTTGATACTATTACTACTATAAAGTTCATAATTTAACATATAAATTCCTATATACTTATATAACTGCCTTATCTCTCATTTTGTAAAGAAGCAACCAGCGTTACATCGCCTCTCTAACTCGACCCTCACAGCCTGACGCAGCCAACAGTTTCAGAGAAGGAGGTTTTATGGCATCGTCTATCTGTCTTATTAACTTCCGCTTTATATTGTTTGTTGAAGATGAATTCAGGTTAGGAAAAACGGTTTCTACTTTCTTATTGAAAGAAATTATGTTAAATAATAAAACTATTGTTTACTCGAGTAAAGCACTGCGTGGTTACACTATTTTTGGCTGGTTTCATTGATCAAATCAATCAAGTCAAGTAATATTTACAATTGAACTCTCTTAAAATATATGTTACTAATTTTTCGTCAATAGTGTGTTTAGCATGGCTGCCTAAATTTACAAATTTTTCTTTCTCTGCGAAGTAAGTGTTAATCTACATTAAGCATTCCCGAAAGAAAACACGTCGAGCAATACGAGGAGAGAAATTTTAATTAAATTAAATGAAAAATTACTTTCAAAAATCTATAAATGCAAATTAACGTCAATTTTAAGTAAAATCTAAAGGATATTATTCTAATTTCTAAATCACTTTCTTCAAGCCTTTGATTAATGAAATCATTTAAAAAATGACATTATTAAAGACAGTCAAATATGGAGTGCTGCAATGAAATTTTTTCAGATATTGTTTTGTCTAGTCTTTATGTCTCTTAAGCCCTAGTTAACACACAAATCATATATATCTTTACCAGGAATTCATGTTTTTTTCATGAAAAATTTATTTTCTAATGATTTTTCAGGATGCCTTGTTGGAGATTTCATCTTATGGCATTGTGTGGAATCTCATTGCGCGCGCTCAAATCCATTAACCTTTTCTGTAAAACACGGAATTAAATGCCAATGTATGAATCTGACAGTGCCTTTTCCAATTTTACTTGCATTTATGCCTACAAAAGCATGCTTGCTCGTGCTAGAAACTTGACATTTACACCAATATTGCTATGGCGTGCTAAATTCTTTGCCATAATCTGAATCCTTCTAGCCCACTTTCTATCAATCTCATTAATGCATGCGTAGTAAAAACAGAAAAGAAGTATTCTTACTTTGAATCATAAAGATTTGTGTGCTGTTTGTCAACCAAATAATAGAGGCATTATTCTACTTCTTGAGAGCTGATTTCAGTAATATCTATCATTATTTTTTGTATATACCGAATTAGTGACACTAACTAGAAAATTCTAAACTTTTGTCCTTTGCATTCAAGGCGCATGGATTATTAGCCGGCGTTCCTTGTCAAAGCGATTTGTCTAAATAAAAGAGTTTATTACACCTTGTTGCTCAGACCGTTTGTCTTACCCCATATGAACTCAGTTCACTTGAATCAGAAATTGCATTAAATATCTGTTTAAGAATGAAAATTCGTAGCTTTCAATGGTGAAATATTTATGCAGTGAACAAAGTCAAATTGATTTGATATGATCATACTCGAGGTCACTCAGATTTGTGCAAGAGTCTGCAAGATAGAAACGGAAAACAAATCGTTGGAGCTTCTTTCGGCTCTAGAATGGCGTTCCTTCATCAATGCTTTTCATCTGCTCCAATTTTAATTCTACTCCCTACTTCTCTATTCTTTTCCATCCACCTCTTGGATAGACAATTCGAATAAAATGCTATTATCAACTAATGGCCGCATAAGCACTGTTGAGATTGCAATCCGAGTTGACAAATACCCTTCAAGGCACTGTGCGTTAAGCAGAGTTCATTCCCCCCCCCCCCCCCCCCCCATCACCAAATGCTTCTGGAATTTGTATTAAAGTAATTGTAATTGGCGCATTAAGTAATTCGTGTTCCCCCTGGCTTCACTTGGGTCCATGAAACGAGTCTCAAACTTATTGCATTAGGAAATTTTCGTTGCATTTATTTCGATGATTTCTTCCTGAGGTGTAGTGATATTTCAAGTTATCAAAGTCGATTTTTTATTTATTGCCTTCCATGCTATCAACGCCTCCTGCATTCAACACACCATTAGGCATCATTTGTGTTATTAAAGATCATATTTTAATTCCCCATAGATGTACAAAGCAAATCCTTTTTCTCCCCGTCCGAAGTTTAAATTGCCATAGGATTCGTTCAAACATGATACTCCAAACACTCTATCCTCTCGAGTCAAGAATAACATATAAGTACCCAGGCGAATCCCTTGAATTTATTTATCTTTTCACACGAATTTCTAGGCAAATAGAATCTCTAAATGAATCAATTTTATCGAAATATTAATGAATACCTATGTTTATATCATACTGTTGTTGTCCACTGAAAAAAACTTCCGGTTTTGAATTATTAATACCTAATTCGGTTTCTCAATTTTCAGCGAAGTGTTATGTCATTTTAACTTATTTTGCCCAAAAGACTATCAGATCAGCATAACTCGGAAAGTTTAGAATTTCACCTTTTACTGTCTCTGACTTTCAGCCTCTTTCATAGTACTCATCTTACTCTCGGCATGTTGTTACACTGAAGTTCCTCCTCCTCTCTGTGAAGCCCGAGGTCAACTAGAGGGCTAATGATAGCTACCAAAATGCCTGCCACTTTAAATCAATGCGCTCCCAACAGTGATACTATTATGTTATTATTATTATTAAAACATTATAGGCTTCAGATTATTGTCTAATTCCATGTAACATGAATGTGAACTTTGCTTGAAATTTGCATAATTCCAAACCTCATCCAATGAAATTCACTGCTCTAACCTGTGCCGTCTCATTGTTTTACTAAGCCTAATAAACCCAGACGTTTGGAATCAAATTTTCAAAGCTATTTTGAAGCCTCCTTGATCAAAAAATCCCGTTTCATTTAATTTAATAGACCTTAAAGTTTCATCTCCTGCCCAAGAAGAAATGCGAACTGCTGTCAGGAAATAGATCTTGAGATGAATCTTGAATTGTCAAATTCATTATACCAATGAACAATGAATGAATGGATATATTATTCAATATGACAGTGCTTAAAACGCTGTCACCTGCCATTGAAAGCTTCTTGCAAATGTTGACTACGAGTTCATTAAAGAGATATGAATACCTCCGTCTCACAAGGAACAATGTACTTGTTATAAGTCGCATTATTCAAATAAGAAGCACAACCCTTGGTGTTCTGGTTTCATTGTCTACTTCTTCTTGATCTACCCCATCCCCTCTCCTCCATTCCAACCCCAATTTAACTTGTTTGCTCTTCCCCACCCTTGCAGTTGTGTACTCAACATCAAAGTTTGCTTCCTTTTCGTTTATTTTGAATAGCAGTTTATTAAGTAAGCTGGTATTTTCCTGTTAATATTTGCGAGTAACTCTAATTTTGCTGAAACATTCTCCCAACTGGAAATGTTTCGGCACATTTAGATTGTAACTAGGGAAGAAGTGTACAAAAAATTTTATTTATCAAAAGGTGTGATAAGCTTTGTTCAATTTTGATAGGAAACAGTCACACATACACATTCACACTGGTAGAGAACCTTCATTCAAGCGCATAGAATTATACATGAGTAACTTGTGTATTAGCAATAATGTCACTATCCGGAGCAATGTCAGCAGGTGTCATTGTGCATAGTCGTTCATGCGAAGACAATTGATCGGTCACTGGTACATTAACATAGTTAATTGGGATAGGTTGGTACCCAGATGAAAAGCAAAGAGTGGCTGTTCCACTGTCGTCAGCCAGCTGAAAGTCACCTGTATCATTTGCAAAGGTCATAACATTGGTGCAGACTGGTATATGCTGGCCCGTACCATCTATCAAGGCGTATTTACAAATGGGTGAAAACGAACGCATTGAAATGCATTGATCTGTGCTGACAGGGGAATTGCATGATCGTGGAGTCCGAACGTGGGCATTTCCGAGTGCAGACGAACTTCGAGTTGTTATGGTTGGGAACTGATATCTAAAGCAATTTGAATATGCCACATTTGATTTATCTATTTAATAAAAAAGGAAAATCTTATCGTGATCCACCATTATACTCTTTTCAAAATTGTTTATTAATATATTGTGACAAGGTGGCTTAAAGATTATGCTCATGCAGTGCAATATTTTCAAAAAAACTGAACCTATGTAAATTCTTTCCAGTCCTCCTTTTCTAAAACTTACTTTGAACAATTGCCTTCCATGAACAACTAAAACGAAAGTTCTTACTAATTCTTATTAAACGCGACAGTACAACGATACAAGAAAGCCTTCCACGAAGTAGATTATAATTGCTAAAAGAGACATAAGAGTCAAATCAGTTCTCAAATGCTCCAATATCTACCGCAGAGGTGACATGGACAGCTGCCTACTGTAAAAGAATGAAGGTGTGGTATAAAAAAATGGTTCATTCCATAGGTAAAACGATAGCCGATCTTCGATTTCTCCAGAAATAAAGTGAGTAAGGATAAATGAAGCACCGCTCATTTGAAAGTTATTTTTTAACACTGGTGCCAGGTTCTGTGCAAGCTTCACAGATTATTTTTTGTAAATCACCTAAGTAACAAAGTTTCGAGCTTTAAAAGGAAAAATTATTTACCCAAAGAGCCGAACCTCCCAATCCATTCCTTGAATCAATTTTGCTTTGCCAATCTTTCAAACTCTTCATTATAATTCAATGGCTTAATTCAACTAACTGACCAATAAGCGTTTGAAAGCGTTGAAAAATTTGAAAATCGAACTACAGGTCACATTAGAATGTCACCATTAACCATTTCACTAATAAAAGAAAATGAACACACAAATTAAGTAGGACTTTTCTGTTGTTAGATAAAAATATTTACATTAAAATTTTACCTGTGTAGCTCTACTTGACTTTTCTTCATATTTATGTGCTTTCTCTTGACTAAAATGACCATTTTTTCTAGTTTGTGTGTATAATGCCTGTAAGGCAAAATTGGAAAATGTGCGGTGGCTAAGTGGCCTCAGTATTCGACAAATTCAAAGTGAAGACTGACGTTGAAATAAGCTAATCGATTTCCATGATAAAGGAGAAATTGTGCTGACTAAACGACAGAGTTAAAGGAAGGACTTTACGAGGTTAAAGGTAAATCAGTAATGAAATTAATAAGATTTTATTTTATATCTGGTGTGCGCGATAAGCTTAAATCCACGTGGTGCGCCATGGGCAGCGTATACTCATACGCAAAAAGTCTGTAAAATGACAGTTGACTTATGACTTCATATTACCATGACCCAACTGTATGTCATATTCGACCCCTTCACAGTACTCAGCTTACCTTTTCTCTGCATTTGTGTCTGTCTATCCATTTTAAATCTGTGAATCACTCTTCTGGCCCCCCCCTCAACTTTTGTGAATTTTATGTTCCCCTCTGTAAAGCTCGAAGTCATCTAAATGACTATCAAAACGCCTGCCATTTGAGAGAAATATTTCAAGTCCTTTTATGCTTATTCCGTAACATTAAAGTTAAATTTCAAATCCAAGTTTATGAGGTTTAACCCATTGGCAAGTATCGAAAAATAAACCATAATGGATTCATTTTACATCAGTCAAAATTATATATAAATTTATTTTATATTTGTTCCCTATAATTAACATGCTTTGGTTTTCCTTTCACGTCTACTTGAAAAAATAGCACTTTAACAGTTGATAATTCTCAGTGCACTTCAAAAGTTCAAATTATCTTATTAAAATTTTTTCAGGCACCGACACCAATTCACCAGCCTTGGCATGTCGGATATTTCCAGTTTCATAGGGGATATATATACATATATTCAACTATAAAACGAGAACACAGCTTCATTTACTAAAGTTTACAGCGGGCGACGAAAATTCTCAGCCAAATTCAGACGGAAAAAAAGTTGTGGCCTTTTCTTTCGTGCGAAGGAGTCATGTAGATTTTATTCAAATCTTTTGATCTTTCAATGCGGAGAAAGATTGAGAGGTGATGTGGGCGGGGAGGGGGGGGGGGAAGAGGAGTGGGGGGGGCTTGAAATGCCAGTTTGCATGCGAAAACCAGTTGTACAATAAAAATTGTGCGGTTTCAATTTTTGTGTATATTTTACTGCCCCCAGCATGTATGTCCGACGCAGTGTACACTGCCTGCTTGTTCATTGCTTGACGCTCCTTTCGGCTTTAATGTTAATTAAGTACTGGCAGAAACGCAATCGGAGAATAATTCGATAGAGTTTTGACTGTTGTTTATTTCCCTGTTGAAAATTTTTTTCTGTGGAAAATGTAATTGCGATTCCTACACTTGGAATCGAAGCTACCAATGCGGGCCGATTCTGACGGAAGCATGCATTACCAAAATCCTTTAATTCCTTCTGATCTAATGGGGTATTTAACTTGAAAAAATATTGCATTTCCTTGATTCATTAACTTAAAGTAACATATCAATTTTTTAAACGACCGTAACACCTGAGAACTTTGCCATTTCGCATTTAACTAAATTTTAATTTGTTTATGTTATCAAATAATAGGTATGACTTTGAGGGAAAAGATGAGATGGAATAAATAAGAAAAACTAAAACCCGTTTTTCAGCAGAATGCTACAAATCGAAATTTCAAAGGCATAGGTTCAGTTTTCAAAGCCCTATTAGATGAAAGGCGCCAACGTGGTAACTTATTCACTTTCAGATCTCTTAAATAACGTGCAAAATGATAAATGTGATGTCAATTGTCTTTATCGAATTTTTCAAGGCAAATTACAAGGAGCATATTTTAGCGCTCATCTAAAGATAATGAAAAGCATTTGAAAACTCTATTCCATTCTTTAGACAACAATAAATGTATTAACAGTTATTATTCTTCCTATTTTTAACCGTCGAAGGTAACTCCCAGAAAATCTCAAAGAGAAAACGATCGAAAGGTTGGTGTAAGCAGTAGCAAGCCATAATATTTGTTAGGTAAGAAATTCGGCTTCAAGATTCGAATCTCATGAATCGACATTCAGGGCTTGTTGATTACTACTATTTAACCTCGTCTCTTCAATTCTTTCTTCGTTCAATAGTTAACACAAATTACCAAACAAGACAGTTCATGGTTTGCTCTTTAGATCCATTGATAAACGTTAATAAGAAATGCAGCAAAATTATTAACTTCTTCTATAAATTCATTGCCTCCCACTTTAATTAAATTATTTGATGTCAGAATATAAGTAACTTTTCATAAATGTCAGTTATCATTACTACACAGCTTAATTACATGGGTGCGCTTGTCAGTGTATACCAGCATTCCATTCCAGTGAACAAGTGCTGTTTTGCATATATGTGTGTGTGCGCCTGTTGACGGAATCTCATTAACATGAATACATTGATCCTACTTGAGCTAATTTGCCTTTCGTTATGCTGGCAATATTCTTATTAATTTGGAACGTAATTATGGGTTTAGATTCCTTTGATGAGACCTATGCAAATACTGATTGAGCATGAAATGTAGCGTTACATATTCGCTCCAATAACGTGAGCACTACATTAAAACTATGGGACATTATTAGCAAAAAAGCGTATGGTAAGAAAAAAACTCAAGTGGTCATAAGTATTATCCCTCCCAATAGAAAAGTGTTAGATTTGATATAAACGAGGTACCTTGTAAAATAAATCCCTCGTTCTTTATGAAATTATCATTTAACTAATTCAAGAATTTGTTTAAGAAGAATCGAATTTGAGCTTTAAAGTGACAAAATTGACATTAATATAAATCTTATTATTCCGTCTAAGCGCTAATACATCAAATACCTAGCCTAGAATAAATATTTAGTAACATAACTAAAAAGGATTCCGCTCAAATTGGAAAAATACTCGCCTTTGAATAAAGCTTAATTTCATAAATCTTCTTTTGCTAATTGGGTCATTGACTTATTGTAAACTTAATTAATTTGTATCATTTTAACCCACGCTTGTCCACTTTAAGTTATGTGCTGATCTCAAATTAATATGATGGCCTATTCACTACGTGCTCACATGTGTGTCATTTGAATATGCTCTCAAGCTGACATATATCCAATTAAATGCGTATTTAATTTAGAGCTTTAACTTTCTGTCAACGAAAAGAAATTTGCCTTATTAATCATAGTGACGGCGTTTCATTCCTTATATAAAGAACTGACTGAAGTATTTGAAAGTGAAGTGTCATAAATGCTTCACTGAGTGTAATACGCCTGCTTATATACATTTCTACAGAGTCTCCACTTATTAACTTTATTCTGTGTTATTCAATTCTTCTGGCTGCAATCCTATTCTGAAAATACCTGATCATTTCAATACTACTAGTGGCGGCGATTAGGAGGGATAACTTGCAGTTGATATTTTTCCTAATTACTGTATGAAATATTGATTTTGTATTCCAAATACTTTACTTTTACTTGCAATAGACATACTCCAAATGATCCATTTGATATGAACTCAAATTTTTTGTTTATTATTTATATATATATATATTTCCAACCAAAATAGCACTTCTATTTACATAATCTTATTACACAATTGAAATATATACTTACCTATTAAATGAGTCGACTCCAGGTGATCTAGAATTGCTATGTACCTAAAATTTATAAAAAACTAATTATTTAGCTCGCTGGAGTTATAATTTGGCTCTAAAACGCGATCATCAAATAGGAGGAGTAACATTGCATGACATTTTCATCACCGCCATAGAGTTAACATTACTTTCATCTTGGCTCATAATTAAGTTGTACCTCCTTGCGTTAATTAGAACATAAAATAAATACCGTTAGGCTGTAAGTTCTTCTAACACTGGCTTATTTGGGGTGATTTTAAAAATATTTATGTCTGAACCAAAAAGTAGAGATTTTGTCGAAACTTTAAACGGTCTCTTTGATTTAGAAATTTAACTACTTTAATCGAAACAACTAAAGCCTTCATCCAAAAGGATAGTTTGAATAGAGTTTTGTGCAGATTCCAAAGCTAACATGATTTTAAAATATGAGGTGAACATCTTTAAGAGAATTAATCAATGCAATAAGTGTCATCAGTCTTAACGATTTAATTATTGGCAATTCTTTGAAACTGTGTCCTTAATTTTTTGTAGGAAGAATAGCGTAATCTGTATTTTCTTTATCAAATCTTACGCCAATCACATCCAATTTTATGACAGAGGGCGAATGATTGTTTGCCAACTAACAATATCCTAGGGCGGTAATTTAAAAAAAATATTAGCAGGCACGAGCAGTTGCTCTCCTTCTAGTCCTAAAGCCTTGCCACTTTAATTAGGGATTTTTTAAATTCCTTTAAAGATATTACGGTACTTTTTGTGTCCTCAATGTCATCATAACGTACTTCTAAACCCTTCAATGAAATTGCCTAATGTAGTCAAATTGTAAATAAATATTCCATTTTTGAGATACGGCTTATACATTTTTATACTTTGAATAAATTGTAGGAGGTTTTTTAAAAATTCCTACATCTTTTCATTCGCCAATTTTAACAACAGTGTTTCCTTGAAGCTCACGACAGAGGCATGTTAAAATGTTCTAGTTAGAATAAACAAAATAATCCCCACTTAATATAGTAAAACTTTCAAGAAATTATCCAAAAAGAAATAAACTATTAGTAAGTTTGAGAGATTTAGTCAAGTTATTTACCAAACTAGTCGTTATGATTTAAGGAGAGTCTTAGATGAAAAACTGTGCGAAGAGTTGCACATTCAATTTGCAAGTTATTTCAAAAATTTGCCAAGAGGAATAAATTATGGTAGCTAGAAGATTCAGATCATCATTACATTTATATTTCATCTAGACAAATAAATTCCCTTCACAAAGCGCGTATTTTTCCCGAATAAACAAATGGTAATGGCTGCTTAGGCCTAAATGCCAGAAATGTGCTTCATTTTTGTTCTTCTAAATTTAGTCACTGATTCTAGAACAAAAATTTTAAAAATCGATTTTTAACAAATAAATTTTTAATATGGAAGCTAATTATAATTGTGTGTCAAATAAATTATTTTAATTGGAGGAATTCTGTCAATTTAATTCAGGGCATCATATTATTTAGTATAAGAGATCTTATATAAATATTTTTTAAAAATATTTCTCGTGGGGTTTCCTTGTTGACTACTTATATCATGTTAACCTTTGATTAAATGACAATTTAACTAAGAATCGGTTATTATTAAGACTTAATATATCATAAAGTCTAAAAGTATTTTCCAAGTGAAATAAGGCGCTGAGCAATTAATTGAGTTTCAAGATGGTAAAAAAATTGTTTTTGTTTACCTTGAGTAAACACTGCATATTGAGCTCTGCCAGGTCAAAAAAAGATTACAGAAAATGGATTGATGCGAAATTCCAAGTTTTATATTAATAAATTTGAAAATTATAATTTGCCCATGTGTCAAACAGTAAGGAACGGCTAAGCAAAATGATTTACCTTAGCACACTAACAATTATAATTCTAACTATTTGCCTTTCAAAGAATACTCCTTTGTTAATCTCTCATTTAAAAGTAGTTTTTTCATTTCATATTAAAGCTTTTAAAAGATATTTTTTGTATTAATTTAGTGACCGAAATTGTTATGAATCGAAATGCCCATTCAAGAAACGTACGTAAAAGCCGTCTTCCTTTGAATTCATGTCCATTGTATGAGGTAGGCTGTTCGATTGCATAAATCCGAGAGATTCTCCTCCAAGTTCCATCTTGTGCTTGTTAATCGAATTTGAATACAAATTCCCTAAATCAGGCAAAAACGTTTTGTTAAGCGAAAAATTAGAAAATAAGCATGTCACTCTGCTTCTATGTGGTTAACAATATACTCAACTATCTCACTGATTGCTTTTCATCCTCCCAAATAACCAGTACTGTCCAGTTATTGACCTACTTCACCGGCTCTGTCCTTGAGTGCCAACATCCCTCCCCTCTCATCCTTGGGTGATCTGGAACATTTTTCAAAACTTGCACCCATCTTTAAATGGTCAACTTATCTTTGGGGGGACGGGGGTGGATGGATGAGTCTCTCAAGTTATTTACCATAAAAACAACCCCTACCCCCCCCCCCCACGCCCGGATTACCCTGTGTCCTGAGGTCCATAAATAAGGGTTTATCTACCTTATCTATACAAAATTGTTAAGATTTCATTCAGACTGCTAATGTATATTTCACTATTGAAATTACCAATATTCAAGCACCATTTCACCCATCTCAATCCCTAATTATCTTTTTCTTTGCTACTTTTTCCCTCCATCATATTCTTATAGGGAATATTTACAATGTCTAATGGGGATAACTGTCGACGGACACTAATGACTCTTTTGTTGGTAGCCCTGCCTGGATCACCAATAATAAATGAAGCGAATATTGCTTAATGAGATTATGTAAATATTAACGAATTCCTCTCCATCTAACTTCTAATTTAACTGTAATAATGTGCAAAGTTTGGATTGAATTATTACCTTTTGTATGGGTTTTCCTGTATTGATAGCGCCGACAATAGAAGAAAATCATTAGTCCCAGAAGTATGGCAACAACAAGGGCTGCTAAAATTCCACTTAACGAGGATATGGAGAGTTCATCTTTAACCCAATTGAGGAAAAAGTTTGGTAATCATTTTAAAAGGAAAAAATTAGGTAACTGAAATGACATCACCGACCATCCCTTCGTAGTTCCAATGTTTGAGAATCACTTCCGTAGGCATTAACAGCTGAGCAGTTGTAAAATCCGAAATCCGTTGATAAGACATGAGAAAAAATCATAACGTGGACCACACCACCAAGGAATTCTTGGGTGGAGAACTTTCGACTAAAAGTAAATTGGCATGCAAAAATATATTACTTAAAATATTGAAAACTTTGGTAATGAGGAGAACTTCCTAACCATCCTCTAAGTTACTTGAGGAAACTTTGTATGTATACGGAAAATATTTTGCTTAAATACACCTCCTAGTTTTAACCAAAGAAAAATTATCCCTTCTCAACGAACTAAAAGCACGTCCCATGAGAATCAATACTAAATTGTTACTGGTGTCAGGAGCTCATGAATCCTACCTTATATGAAATGCGAAGTTCTAGATTGTTGTTTTGTATTAAGTGCAATTTTCCTTCAAATTCTTAGTGAGTCTATTTCACTGCTAGGCTAAAATAACATTACGGCTCTCGTTTTTCTGCTTCCGAAAATAAGACCAGTTGATCGAGATGCCAGACAGTAGAACCTCAATTTATGGGCACGAATTAATTATGCTCATTGGATAGTTTTGCCAGAATCAAAGTAAGCCGATAATCTTTCGGTGTTCTGTCTCTATTATCTCCCTCCATTCAAGCTATTTACATCACTAATATAGGTCCTCTTTCAGTATTATGTGTTTTACAGCGTTCCATTTATTAAAGATGGAATCTAGTGCTTTAAATTTTGGTGTAATAAAGTTAATATATCTCCTCTTAGTTATTACCAGTGCATAACGTGAGTAGATGTCTCTATTTGAGTTGGCTACTTTCAAAAAACCTGATCCCATGGGACTTCACAGCGGACAAATGACTTGATCACTTGGGCTTATAAATTATTTGAAGAGAGGATACAACTCTAAAGCAGGAATTACACGGGCAGAATGCTTAGTCACTGATAAGATAAGGGAGTTATACTCAAGTATCGCAAAATCTAACTGAGTAATGAGGGATCTAAATTGCTAACAGTTTGTCACCCTTGCTATGATTCCATGTTCATACGTTTCAAACCGCCTATTATTAACCAAAGTGGGTCGATTAGTAACGTTTTCAAGTCTCCTTTACAAAATCACATGCAATTAAATCTTATTTCAAACAGTTTCTCCCTTCCCCACCCCTCTCAATGCGTTTTCAAGCTTACTGTTTCTGATTCTGATAAGTATAATTTTTATATTGAAATAGTCTGCTAATCCCCTAGTATTTGTACTTTAATAAATTGTAATTAATTTACCTAAACCCGTGTATTTGAATCAAAACCAACTCCAAAATGTATGGCATCTTTACACACACGCAAAAAGTCTGTTCCCCACTGATCTATTTAATTAGTGAATCACTTTGACGCAAGTTCGCTGTCCAGCAGTAACGCTACTTCACTTGATTGATACTTATGCTGTGTTTTACCTTAGATCCTTTGAAATCGACAATCAAATTATAGATTTCGGATGGCTTAATTTAGTGCAGGTTTTTTGTCCTTTTATAGTTATGCATATGTTCATTACACTTGAGCCAAAATCGCAAGATGCGATGAATAACGAACTAACCTGGAATAGAATTCACTTTTTCAAACATTGGCTCTGGGGATAGTCATTCATATTTTACATATTCAATCCTATGGAAGTGAATATCTTTTCTTATTGAAAAAATAAACCGTCTTATTTTACTCCATCCACCGTAACTCTAAAACTAATGATCCTATCTTAGAAAAGGCAAGATTTTAACCCAATATTCATTATCAGCAATTGACGAGGTATATGGGATTTTAGTTTCCAACTCACTGTGCCGTTGGTTGTAGAATAATATCACGTCGAAACCATAGAAGGCCTTCTGGAGAGGGTAAAGGAACAGCATTAATTGTGCATGGAAGTCTTGCAGGAGCTCCAATCGCCGCGTAGACTGGCTCGGCAGCTTTTATCTTCGGAGCGGCTAAAACGTTAAAAAATCTCTTTGAGACAGTGTTACGCTTGAATAGTTCAGACCACAAGGCCAAAATTCACTTAAGTAGTTTTCAAATAACGGAAATGCATAATAAGATTTCTTTGCACGCCAGTAATTTCTGATGGCAGTATATGTGAGCTAAATAGATCCTATTTTATAAATTGAATTGATTTCACCCTTGAGAATACTATAATAGCATTTGCATAGGAAAGCAGGAAGTCGAGGAAACACGTTTACCATCATAATCAATTCGTGCAATCAAATGCAATTTGTAAAAAATAACAACGCATTTATGGTAGTAAAAGCGAGTCTGTTTATCCGCTTTTATGCCTAATATTTCACCCTTCGATCTACATTTTGAGAGCAAATACTTCTCTTTTCAAACGGCAGAATAAAGAACAGTTTGGTTGCCCTGTGTTTACTCAAACTACCTCCACATTTTCAGAGTTGATCGCGTAAATATTCGCATATTAATCCATTATCTAGGCCCATCACGTAACTATCACAAACTCTGTTAGGAAATCATGATTATTAAAATGGAAAGCATTCAAGCATTGTTTCGAAACGATATTTAAAGCAAAGCATTTGGCTTTTTTATAAAATTTTAAAGAACTCAGTTTTGAAAAAGCTCAACTTGTTAATAGTGGTGAAATTGAGGACACCTTTGTGCTAAATTGTGATTTATTACAGCAAATGCAATTTTATTGTCCTCCGGTATGAAAAGAGTGGAGATGGAAGCTATCAAATGCATTTATCAATGTGTTATATTGTTTATATAATAAAATGCAAAAATTCTAAATTTTTTCAACTCTTAAATTCTTATGTTATCTTTTTACTTCGCAGTGCTTAAGTACGCAGAGATTGGCTTTTATGATTCCCGGAATACGTCATCTTCTTTGTGAGAAAACCCAGTAACTTTAGAAGTGCGAAAGATGACTACTTTGGAATATTGATCAAATTGTATTTCTCATCAAAAATCTTCTAAGTACACGCTAATTGAAACCATGTTATAGATCATTGCTTTTAATGCTTAATGTTTGCTTTAGCCAGGCGCCATCTCCGTACTGTAGCTTCGAGACAGAATGAGCTCGTGATAACAAAACAGTTTTGTCAACATGATCTCATGAAATTTAAATTAAAGATGTGAAGTCCAAATTCTTGGTCATCACGACCTCTCTCTCTCTTGTTCTTCTTCTTGTTCTCGTTGAATTTTTCATTACTTTAAGAATCCAACCCACCTGAATTTGAATGTATCCTCTTCAAACACTATTCTAAATACCTGATCAGGAAAGCATCGTTGTTATCTGTTACTTCCGTCGATAACTTCCACAATGTCTTCCAAATTCACTAGAGGTTTTTATTCGGGTACTAAAATAACTCATAAATACAAAATTGAAAGGAGTTATTTTCAATATTTGATGCTCACACGAAAGCAAGATAGCTCATTTTAAGTTTCCATTTCTCAAAAATAAACTTAAAATGTAAAATGGTTTCCAAGATTAAGTAAATACCACTTCAAAAATAATAACAAATAAATGAATTCTCCAAACGACCTACTGTAGTAATTTCTTAATTAACTCAATCAACGCTTTTATCAATTACTTTTCATTAGAACTTCTTTGAATCAGCGTGGCAAATGCTGAATTGTGTTGTGAAGAGCACCCTGCTTACATAATCTTGAAATGCAATTTAGAATATTATTGTCGTCTTCTAAATAGACAGTTTGAATAACCATTGCTCCTTTTAAGTACAAATAGTAAACTTCAATGAAGCATTATTCCAGCAATTCAATATTGTTAAATCCTACTTCAAATTTTGAAATTTGTATAATTTTATGGTACTTAAATGTTCAAATTACAACTCTTCGATTATATTTGCAGTCATTAGTTTCGACTAAGTCTAAATTCGTACGCTGTAGGTAGCATCGGACAACGATAATAATTTTATCATGTTCTGTAATGAAATTTTGTAATTTACTATAATTTTCGAATTCCAAAATACAATTGTGCAGCCTAAACACAGATAATTTAATTGGCTTAAATAAAGTTTCCGTCATAAAGACAAATTAAAGATGCTTTAGGACAAATATTTGTCTTTTATTAGGAACAATTTTTCTAATTGGTCGAAATAATAAGGACCCTAACGATAAAGAAAAATTGCTTAAGTTATTTTTCCCAACTATGGCAAAATGTTCAAGTTAAGATATAATATAAATGTAGGGGCCAAATTGCTACTTGTTAGCTATAGCAAATATTGGTTACATTATAAGGGTTCACATTATGGCGCAACCAAGTTCAAAGCTTTTTTCGGTTTTTGTATATTAAGCGATAAAAAAATAAATAATAATAATAATAATAAATAACACAAAACTATCAGTCAATTATATTTTTGACGAGGGAAGATGCATTTTCGCCCATGGAACAGTTCAGCCTTGGAATAAATGGTGTAAAATCTGATAAATTTACAATATTCAAACGGTTCACACTTACTCCTCTCCTATTAACATACCTATTTGTTTTATACAAGATTATTAGGCTAAATTGGTAACCAATAGTGGCATATTTTAATCACAGGTATCAAGAATCACCAACGTTATTAACAAATCAGATAGAGGAAGAGACTGTATCAAAAGAACTACTTAGGTTGTGCATAGGTCACTTTCAAATTAGGAATCTTTGAGCATTGAACATTTATTAGGTTGGCAACTAAGTCATTGCTGATTTCAAATAAGAAGGCAAATTCGGAATTTTGTTTAAAAATATAACTTTATTCAATTAGATATTGGCCGTTCTTGTCGATGACCTTTTTCCATCCTTCTGGCAGAGTAAAAATTCCCCCTTCGTAAAATGTCTGGTCTTTGCTATTAAAAAACTGAATTAGGTGTGATCCGACATCATCCGCGTTGTTACAAATTTTACCATTTAAAGAGTTTTACATGGAACGAAACAAATGGTAATCCGAAGGCGCAAGGTCAGGGCTATATGGTGGGTGTGACAAAACATCCCAACCCAGTTCCAATAATTTTTGCCGAGTAACCAAAGATGTGTGCGGGGGCCTTGCGTTATCATGATGGAAAACAACACCCTTCCGATGATTGCATCCTTCAGTTTTTCGAGTTGTTCAACTTACACATTTGAATTTATCGTTTGGTTCTACGGCATGAGTTCAAAATACAAAATTCCTTTGTGATCCCACCAGGCTGACAGCATAATCTTTTTTTGGTGAATCTCTGCTTTTGATACTGTTTGGGCTGGTTGATCTTGCTTCAACCATGATCTCTTGCGAGTAACATTGTTATAAACTATCCACTTTTCGTCGCCAGTAACTAGGTTCTTCAGAAATGGATCATTCTCATTGCGTTTCAGTAGCGAATCACAGATGCTAATCCGTTGCGTCAAATGAATTTCCCTTAACTGGTGGGGGATCCATAAATCAAGTTTCTTGACATAACCAAGGGTTTTTAATTTTTTTTCAATGCATGTATGCGACACATTGAGCTTCTCTGCAATATCTCGTGTTGTGCTGTGACGATTTGAATCGATAATGGCCTTGATATGGGTTTCATCCACTTCGACTGGGCGGCCAGATCGTTGTGAATTTTTCAGTGAAAAATCACCGGAACGAAATCTTTCAAACCGATTTCGACACTGCCTTTCTTTTAAGGCTTCATCTCCACATACGGCACATAACTTCTTTTGTGCTTGCGATGCGTTCTTGCCTTTTCGGAAGTAATACAATAAAATGTGTCGGAAGTACACGTCCTGTTCTTTCATTTTTAAATTGGGATAAAAATAGAACTAAAGAACCAAACAAAAAAAATTTTCACTAATTAACCTAGAAGCTCATACAGTAAGAAAAAATATAGGTTAGATGCTCTGGCCACGTTAACAAAACAAAAGAAAGTATAGAGTGAATCCGTCAACAAAAACGGCAATGACTTAGTTGCCAACCCAATATTTATTTCAAATGGCAGGCGTTTTGATAGATATCATTAGCCATTTAGCTGACTTCGGGCTTCACAGAGGGAAGTTTCACCAAAGTAGCAGAAATTCGAGGGGTGGGCAACAGAAGAACGATTCAAATTAAGAATCTTTGAGCATTGAACATCTTTAGTCCTGAAACTAATAATTTCCACATAGCTTCAATTGCAGTTACGGTCCTTATGTTCTAAAAAATTATTATTCCTTGACTCTTTTAGATTTAAATCGACGAATAGTTTTCTTTTTAAATATGCGGGACACGTTATCGCTTTGTTCGTCATCGCATGCCCGCATGCCAGGATTGGGAGGTGCGGCCGTACAACTCTGTGTGCAGCGACCGTACGATTGGGAGGTGCGGCCGTACAACTCTGTGTGCAGCGACCATGGGAGGTGCGGCCGTACAACTCTGTGTGCAGCGACCGTATAAACATTGACCAATCATCAACCTCTAACCTAATCCCCCATCCTGATCATGAGTAGCTCCCTGCGTGCACACTTTATCCATCCTGATCATGAGTAGCTCCATGCGTGTACACTTGATCCTGATATACGTACTGAATAAACGTATTCCGTGCTACACGTCTGCTTCCCTACGTCCTGAATAAACGTGCTCCGTGCTACGCGTCTGTTTTCTTTATGGCTGGTCTATGGCTTAACTGGTTCTGGGGGTCTAGCTAGATGTTGGGGAGTCTGCCATATAGATTTCTGAGTTAGTCAGGCTTTACTAGCGTAGCAATCCGCTACAAATATATGTACCAATAAGTACCGATTTTCAAGGTTATGATTTACATTAATTTCCATTTTTATTCTTCAATTCAAACTTTTTTAAATTATTGAAAAACGCGCTTGAGATTTCCAGGTATAACAAATTAGGGAAATTTGATTAATTCATCTTTGATCAACACGTTATTGAGGGTCTTCAATACTAAGGTAGTTCGTACTCAAGTAAAAGTCAACGTTTGCACTTTAATCCACCAATTGAAACTTTCTTTAATAGTTTCTAGCTTAACTTTACCAGTACCAAAAAATACAGTTTTGCTTATTCTATTATAATAGACAACTTTTAATTAAAGGAATCAGTAATTTGATAGTTAGAAGTAAGTGTGGCAAACTGAGGGAAATCAGATTTTCCCTTTTAAAAATATTAATTCATATCATGAATGCTAACGCCGTTAGCGAATATGCTGAAGGCCGACTGAACTTTTGTCCGGAAATGCTTTATAACGCTTTTCCTCCCAACTCAAAGTGAAATTAGACAAAAATGTGGTTCCGATCGCTGAAAGGTTTTTTTTTATTTACCAATCGATGCAGGTTAACTTTTGGCTTATTACAATTGCTTAGATAAATGCATAACTTTCAGGTAATTTAAATATTATTCCAAACCATTCGAGAGGGTCAAAAATGTTAATTTCTGTTAAGTGTATTCGGTGTTTTTGAGTTCGAAATTATAAATACCGCCTATTTTATTTTTAAATATCAAAATATTGATCATAATAGCATATTTCTTATTTGGATGGAATTTATTGTGCTTAACATTTATATGATATTGATTCAGTTAAAAATCTATATTGACAATCAAATTTTAAAATTTTTTTATAAAATATTATATGTTTATAAATATTTATTTATTTATTTCAAATGGCAGGCGTTATGATAGGTATCATTAGCCCTTTAGTTGACTTCGGGCTTCATAGAAAGGAAGATGAACAACAAAGTGGCAAAGAGTCGAGAGGGGGACAGAACAATGATTCACAGATGTAAAAGAGATAGACAGACAGACACAAAGGTAGAGAAAAGGTAAGGTAAGATGAGTACTGTGAAATTATTCGAATATGAAATGGAGTGGGGTCATGGTAGTTTGAAGTCAGAAGTCAACTGCCGGTTAATAGACTTTTTTGCCGTATGAGTATACGTTGCCCAGGGTGCACCACGTGGAGGTAAGTCTATTGCGCACCCCAGTTTATAAATACATATATATATATATATATATATAAGTGTAAAGTGTAAATATTCCAATTACTTTTGTGTTCCTCGGGTTTAAATAGGTGCTGTGTTTCTCATGGGACATCTATGTTTTCATCACTCAGTCTCAGTTTAGATTTGAAGTCTCCTTAGTGACAGCTGCAGTGGATATTAGTTTCCAAGAGCCAACTGATGATTCAATAATTCAGGTTAAGTAGGTTGTGATCTCTACTTCAAACAGCTGTTTGGTCTGGTTGGATTTTCATCGTATCTGGATTTCCACTTATTTTTAATACAAATGTAGAGTGCGTGATACACTTACCTTCACATGGGGCACATTGGGCAACGTATACTCATACGGCAAAAAAGTATATTAACCGGCAGTTGATTTCAGACTTCAAATTACAATGACCCTACTGTATGCCACATTCGACCCCTCCCATAGTACTCATCTTACCTTTTCTCTGTCACTGCCTCCGTCTGTCTCTTTTACGTCTCTGAATCATTATTCTGTCCCCATTCTCGACTTTTTGTCACTTTGACGTTCCTCTTCCTCTCTGAGAAACCCGAAGTCAACTTAATAGCTAATAATAACTATCAAAACGCTTGCCATATGAAATAAATAAATTTTTCGAAAAATGTTATTTATGCATTGCCAAAGGGGTAATGGATAATAAAACTCCACTTCTCAGAAATGTAATGATATGTATATATATATATATATATATATATATATATTTTATTATCTAGCTAATTTTGGCTTTCGTAGTTAGGAGATGCAACAGCTTATAATCCCCATGTGAATCTCTTACCGCCAATGAGCAACACTTATTATTGCAAAAAACTTTGAATGATTTTGATGTCAGTTAATACGCTGTCATTTTATTACAGCCTATTGGCTAGCTCAATTCATTTTTTTTCCAAAAATCTCCAATGTTCAAATTGAAACAATTCTTACATGGCATTTAAGTTGGTATTTTATATTCTATTTCTGTACGTGGGAAATGCTTCCTCTGTATTTGCTTAAACTTAAATGTACTAATTATAAGTGAATTTAACAATACATTGCCGATGGCAATTGTATTAATTGGAGAAAAATAGGCATTGCAAAGACATTATTGTTTAATTTTAACTGTTGATCTCTGTTATTTGTTTAAAATTTTGTAATTAGGAACAAAATTGAAAAACTATTTATAAAGATAATAATAATTTCTGCCGAAATAATGATCGATAAATTTCAGACATTGTAGTTCAGCTGGAATCGAATTAGCGTTTATATTTCCCATTTCTAGGAACAATACATATAATTATGTAATATCTTTTAAGATTTTATAATTCATGACTTTCTGACTCACACTTTTTTGCGAGAATAATTTTCTTCGAAATGGCAGGAAACCCCGGCGCACGAGCAACACAGATATAGGCACCGAAGTCATTTTCGTGAATTTTATCTCGTTCAAGCACCTCTCCACGTGCGATAAGAGCTGCCGTGTTGGCGCTGGGAGTTGAGGAAGAATAAGCGGCCAATCTCCACTCAACTTCAGGCCGTGGATTTCCTTCCACAGGGCAGCGCATTCGAAGAGGCTCTCCTAATGCACCGGCATAGATAACTGGGTTTTGGTTGGGGAATTGTGGAGCATCTACCATAATAAAGTATAAAGAATAAGTTAATATAATCTATCCTTGTAAAGTTGGTGCTATTCGGAGATAAGTTCAGTTTTTTAATTTGCTTTTGCTTCACATAAAGTCTTCTGACACATTTTCCGTCTGCTGTTAAACAATTCCTGATTAGTGAAAGTTTGGTGAAATTCGTTTAAACTAACAGCTATACAAAAACTAGCGTATTTGGAAGAAAGAAATAAAAAAACCGAAAAGCATTTAGTGAGAGAAATGGAGCATATAATTTAAAAATTAACACGTTGAAGTTTCATATTGGCGCCCTATTTCATTTTATCCGAACGTAGATAGTATTCAATAAATTTTCCATCACAAGATCGTAAGTTTGCTTTAAAATTGTATTTCTGTAAACTTTTGACTTTTCTAACCAGTATACTTCTGTTAGCTAACAAGGGAAACCACGTATCTAGAATTGATTCGGTCTGAATTTTGAGTAGTTTTGTAATTCTTAAATTTTGTCTTAATAGACTTCAAGCCTTCTCTCTATTTTCAAAGAAATTTTGCCAATAATTAATATCACTAGGCAGCATAATGATCCTAAAATTCAATAGGTATAATAATTTATGTTCTCACCGGCCTCTTATGACTTAAAAAAAGTAATTTGTCAATATATAAGTATCAATCTGTTTGAATGACAGTGAAAAACCTCGCTTTATAAGTAATTAAATTTCCTTGAATTTAAACAGTTTGTCTTTTCGTGGGAATATTCAAGGCTCTCTTTCAATTCCACTCATCTGAAATACTAAAATCTGGTATTAGGTAGAGAAAAGAAATTTTATCCGAATATTCCCAATTTGGGAGGAAGATAAAGAACCAATGTTTGTTCTTCAAAGGTATCAGAACATTCCCATTGTAAGTGATTAAGTAAGGTGTGGCAATAGCGAGTAAGCTTGCTTATATAAATGGTTTCAAACCGAAATATCCCCGTAATTGTTAAATAAATTAACAGCTTAAGCGAGAAATTTAATATGATCATGACCTAACATCATTTAAATAGAATGGATAAACAAAATGTTAAATTTTAACTATTGAAATATCGCATTAACACCAGATACATCGAATTTCAAAAAATTGCTCAACATAAGTCTAGTTTTGGTTCGAAATAAGTAAGTATGTATACATATTTTTCATATTTCTAACTCCTGCGAATAGTAGTCAGCCCAATTTACGGCAAGAATGGGGTGATAATGATCGCAATCTCATTTTCTACCGTTTTTCAATGGCACAGAGAGAGAGCGTGAATTTTAACGCTATCATTCATCAATGATTTTGACATTTGAAAAGGTGACTACTTCGCGTATTCACTTAATCTCAGCATATTAAATACCACTCAGGCTTTAATCATCACCCAAGAGGACAATAGTGGTCATTTACTTCTAAAATAGGGACATCATTTTAAATTATTCGGTTACTCAGAAATTCCGAGCAATGGAATAGATAATCAGAGACCTACATAAATCGTTTTGAAGGTGCGAAGTTAATGGTTGGAATATACCATATTTCATGTTATCACTGATTTTTCTCGTTTGAAAATAGACGTAAGGTCTGATGTGGGATAATTTATTTATGATTAGATTTTTGTCCTTATAAATTTTTATGTTTAATTAATTATCAGTCTTAAGAATAAAGCATACTTCGACTTTCTCCTTTCGTTTTAAGTTTGATTGTTTAAATTGTAGATTCAGTCGCCTCAAAGTTTCAACAATGGTTACATTGGTAGGATTCTAGGACTTACATTGGAATGTAAGGAACGTGCTATCACTTCCATCAGCAAATGTTGTTGCGATGCACGTAACAGTTGCATTTATTAGATCCCTCGAAAGACGAATACGGTACTGGTCCGTCTTCTCATTTTCTACTATCGTGTCATTGACCTGCCAACTGAAAGGGTTAAACAGTCGTTAGGTAGAAACTATGTTGAAATTATTGATCTCATCATTATAAAGGAAGCACATGATGTATTTGCTGCTACGAATATCGTATATTTAAAATGACTCACGTCCAAGAAAAATTGTCTGGTCGGCCTTCAGCTAGACACCGAATTGTGACAACGTCATTTTCAAGAAGATGACGCCTGCCCGTGGCTGGTGATAGCCGCATTTTTACAACCGGGGCATCTAAAATGCATCATTTAAGAGTTTAAATTGTCTTCTTTTTAACAATTTGGGCAAACCGGTTGGTATGAGAACCCGATTTGGGCAAAAGGTTAAGTCTTTTGAGTACCTCTAACCGTTTCCTGTTTCCTTGCTATTTTATGTGTCAATAGATCATACCCACATACAAATTTTCGATGTTCTGAAGTAAATCTCCTTTCAACAATTAAATGGGAAATAAACTTATAAGCTGTCAGTTGCACATCATTACCTCCCGAATTCGGAACGTAATTACCTATCAAATAAAGATTTATTTATTTCAAATGACAGCTGTGTTTTGTAGTTAAAATTAGCCTTTTAGTTGAATTCAGGCTTCACAGAGGGAGAGGAACATCAAATCAAAAAAAGTCGAGAGGGAGGGGGGTGAACAGAAGAGTGTTTTAAAGATGTAAAAGAGACAGACAAAAAGGTAGATGAAAGGTGAGGTGAGTACTGTGAAAGTGGTGGAATATGACATACAGTGGGATGATGGTAGTTTGAAGCCAGAAGTCAACTGCCGGTGAATAGGCTTTTTTGCTGCATGGGTATAGGTTGCCCAGGGTACACCACGTAGAGGTAAGTCTATCCCACACCCCTATCAAATAAAGATGTTTCTCCTTGTTTTTAACATTTATTATATGAAATTGTATTATATTAATCATTAAATGTATTATTTTTTGTCAAAAGATAAATTTACCATGACTTATTGGTTCGTCCGAGAAAATGTTTAAAGAATACAAGTTTACTGGAAAGAGAAATAATGTGTCAATAAAAAAACACGATCGAGCTTAGACTGAGAATCCAATGAGAAGATGTCTTTTTCCCTGTAAGAACCATTTGACTGGAGTTTGGAAGGTAGATTTTATTCCTACTATTTTCCGATGTTAATTGAGCAGGTGTATCCAAGCTTTTCCGATATCCCAGCACTTAATTGCATACAAATTCACCCTAAAACTATTTCACTCGGAAGATTTGTTGGGAAAAAATTATATAGTGGAAGTCCACTCAACGTTAGATTTCGGCATATTTTCCCATTTCAAATTGAATTTAGCATTCAATTATTAATCTTCTAAGAAATAGTCCTCCCTTCTGTTGTTCATAATGTTAGAAGCATTTGTTCAAATGAAGTTGTCATAAGAGAAATCTGTGGCCCAGTACCCAACAGTATAACTAACAAATTTATTGCTCCTTCAAGTCGTACAAAAATTGCGCCCACACGAGACGAAGGTTAAAATATATTTGCAGAATAAGTAATTAAGCTTCAACGAAGGAGAAGTCATAAAAAACTGTCCTCAACTCTCCTACTTCCTTTAAAAGACGCTGAGAAGATCTAGAAATAACGCCGTAGGAAAGACAAATCAATCAGGAAGACGAGGAACAATTGTGTTTAGCCGGTCTGTCAGTGTTGGAATTGGTAACCATTCTGATTACTGTTCATTAACCTTAGCAAAACAAATAAATTGGAGGTTTTAATCGTGTATGAATGCTTGCTGGAAAGGGAGCGGTGCTCATGCTGTTCTTGAAGTTCTTGAAAAAATATTAAAATACCAGATTCTGGTACCTTTGAGAGTACGGTGGCTGCCACTTCACATTTAAAATTTGACATTCTTATGATTGACGTTGAATGCAATTTTCGAAAAAATCTTCGGAGCAGAAAGGAAACGAAGCGGAATTTCCAAAGCCCCATTGAAAAATCTTTCAGACATTTTTGTAAATATCTAACAGGAAGCCTGCTAAGCGGACGGTCAAATTCAGTACAAAATCACGTCCAATGTAAGAACTTGTAAAATTCGGGTTGATTTCTGAGCAAATGAATGAAGAGTTTGGCCCACGGGAGTATTTGAAGTGCTATTAATTGGGCAATCGAAAATAATACCCATTGAATTAGCGATTGGTACTTTGTTTCCCAATAGACACTTACTTCTACTAATTTAGAATTATGTGCCCAAAATGAAAAAAGTGATATTTTGCTCACAGCCAATACAGCAAGTCAGTTCCCGAATTTTAGCATAATTTTTACTTAATGTTTCAGAATTATTGAATGCAAAAAAATGACCATTTGCTTACATTGGACATTAAGTTTGGTGTAGGCCGATTGGAGGGGATAATTTTCATAGCCCTCATTTTGAGCCGTGCATTGGATCTTTGAGCCGTGGTGGAGCTTTGTCACATAAACTAGAATTTCACTGATTGTGGTCACCCTAAAAATGATGAATAAAAAAGTATTTACGGTAGTGCATATGCCTGACCGCATACGAAAAATGGAATAATATGCGCCAATTCGATTGGATACTTCTGGAATTACTAAACACATTGAATTTAGCAAGCTAAGAATATTACGTTAGTAACTACAATTGACGTTTGTTTATAAAAGTGAAAGTATTTACTTCTAATCTTTATTTGATATGCTAAAGCGTTTCTTTTATTAAGGAATCATTGAAAATGGCATTTCTACACCCTCGGAAATTTCTCATTTTTCAAGTTAACTTCTGCCAATTAATCTATCCTTGCCTCATTCCTTAACTATATACAGTAAAATAAAGTACACTATTGTAAATTCAAACACAATGATAAAGTAAATAGTCCGATAATTGGTTAATTAAAGCTTTGGAAGTTGGAATTTGGAAGTTTTGAACCAAGAATTCATCAGTTTATGCTCATTTTTCCGTGCTCAAATATTCCAAATACCTACTTTCTTAACTTGTATCACATCAATAATAGGATCGAGTCAAAGATACTTAATGGGCAAAAAGAAGAAAAGCTTCCACGGCTTCTCTGTGTTTTTTAAATGTCAGCAAACTTCAATGATCAACTGTGTCCAATTGGAAGCTCTCGATATTTGGCTTCTAAAAGCAGCGTTCTACTTTCATAGCAATTTTTCTGCGACCACATTTAGGCCACAAAATTTTCATTTTATCCATATTCCGTAGAACAACCTTAATTGCAGAAAAGGCAAAATTTGTGAAAAACTAATTACATAGCAAATTTCTTCAGTAGAAGATGAGTATATCCGTGTTCTTTCAACTCAAAAGGTTCACAAGCATTCAAGTTATGCTTTTTCACCGATAAATGGAAAGTAGGTGAGTGGAAAAGCTATTTACCATCTGATTAAGGAAAGAAAATATTTTAGCCACTAAATAGCACATTAAGAACGTAAATGTTTTGAGAGAATTTAATTTTACGTCAAATGACATTGAGCGTTGAGTACGTCGTTGAGTCATACTAGTATTTTGGATTTCAAGGTCAAATTCATAACTAAAATTCTGCTCTCTTATAATTTTAATTAGAATAAAAGTAACTTAAGCTAAAAGCAGTAAGTTAAGTCATTTATTTTTTAAAAAAGTCATATTGTTAAGAAATTATTTTTCTAAATATTTGTCTCATCAAGAAGTTGACATCACCGTCTTCAGATGTCCTGTGACTCAAACTGATGCAGATATGCCCTAGACTACTGTATAAGGTACACAGAATTTGTTTGGCGTTTGAACAACCCGTTATCTGTTCGTGTAAAATCAATTCGTCTGAATCCTTTGTTCTTCAATTTAATGCCATTATCGAATCTTATATTAAAATTGAGTTTGCATTTGTGTTGCCCGAAGGAAGTAAACAAACCACACCGGTGCACTTTCGTGTGAAGGGCATAAAAAATTAAAAATTCTGTATTTTCAGAGTCTTGTTTTTTAAACAATCAATGAATCACAATACATCTTCCAATTGGAAGGAAAAATGTTGTTTTGATGAAGTACAACCATTAGAATGTGTCAGGAAATGTTATACTTACAGAAAGGGGGGTTCTGGAGCAGGAACACTCTTAATGGACACATTCCCCTCGATTGGACTTGCAATGTGTCCTTTAGTGCCATCCTCGTTGTAGTTAATGGAAAGAGGGCTTCCATTCAAGGTCCAGGAGAGTTTGGCTCCCGGTTTCCCATTCTTTGCAATGCAATGGAGACGAAGGTAACTGCCCTCTATCACCGATGCTGCAATTTGAGGTCCAACCAGTTTAACACTGCTGGCATCCGACAGATCTGACTGCACTAATGTTGGACCCTCAGAGGCAACTAAAATTTAAGCAACTTAAAAATAAATAAGAATAGGATATTTCTTAATTTACATGAAGTCTTGTTATTGCTGTCAATCTGAAAGACCCATAGGTAAGCTGTTAGTTACGTATAGTGGCAATATATTTTTGAAGTGATTCAAAAAAGCACTTTAGAATTTTATAAATTAGAGTTTGGGCAAGAATTTCCAAAGTGTGTCATCTTTCTATGGATTATATATTAGCTAATAAATAATTTTAATCATAAAAAGAAAAAGATTATCACCCTTTTAAAAGAGTGAAACTATTGGAATCCTATGAAGGTAAACAGAAAATGAAAATATTTGTAGGTGAAATCTAAATTAAACTCGATTTAGGATAATTTAAATTTGATAAATTGAACTGCTATTCTCACATTAGTAAATGAAATTTCCAAATTTAATGGTATATGAATGAAATTTTATTTAGTAACTACTTGGTCTTTTGCTATATTCTACAAATGGAAACACACATTACAATTTTGTTTCATTTAACGAAAAAAGCGAAGCTTTTCGATTTATATAGCAGACTATGCATTAGGTCTACATTTGGTTGATTTTGTTTAAACGAGGCCTCTAAGCGTTGAGCGCTCTTTAAACGACATTCTATGTCCTTCCATATTGAATTTTGCATGTTTTTTCTGTGATGTCAAAACATCATCAGCATTTGTTTAAATTCAGTCCCCAAACTAAATTTATTTTCTTGTAATCTGTTTACAAAATTATTTAATAATAAAGAATTTTTCCATAACACGTGTTAATTATGAAAAATATACATATGTAAATTCTTACCCAAAACTCGGACATTAACAGTTTGGCTGAAATAGGTTTTTCCATTGTATCTTAATTGGCAAACATATTGACCCTCATCACGGCTCTTTGCGTAACGCACCTGGAGGTCATACTGGCCTATGAATAAGAAGAAGCAGAAACGATTTATCATCTAAATTTATCAACATTTTTAAAAAAATATGATGAATATACTTGGGTCACATTGATTATCTCGAATGAACCCTTTTTTTAAATTGCGTTTCGCAAGAATATAACCAACCCCCCTCTCGCAAATATCTTATATGCAAAATGAAGCAGAAAATCGTGGAACAAAATTAAAAACGTGACTATTAACTTTTTTATTTCAAAACAATTGTAACGCCTACGAAATCATGAATGGGCCAATGTTGCTAGAAGTAAATTGGAGAATTATCCTCAATCCTTATCTATTCTACTCCCATATTACCTCGCTTATTTGGCAATTTTCACATTTAGTACATTTTGGATTAGTTTTGACTTTATTTCATGGTGCCATAAGTAAATAATTATGTTTCATAGAACTGGGGCACGCAATGGACTTACCTCCACGTGGTGCATATTAAGCAATGTATACTCATACGACAAAAAGTCTATAAATCGGCATTTCACTTCAAACCACCATAACACTACTGTATGTCATATTCCACCACTTCCACAGTGCTCATCTCACCCCACCGTCAGTGACCTCTGACTTCAAACTACCATGAACCCACTATATGTCAAATTTGACCACCTCAACAGTACTCGTCTTACCTTTTCTCTGAGTTTGTGTCCATCTATCTCCTTACGTCAATGAATCACTCTTCTTTCCCCTCAATCGAATTTTTCCCACTATGATGTTCCTCCCCTCTGTGAATTCCGAAGTCTGCTAAAGGGCTAGTGATAGCAATCAAAACGCCTGCCATTTAAAATAAATATGCTTCATAGAATGGCGAAACTTCTAAACCTATCAGAAGAGAACCTGACATACATTGAAGTAAGCTCAAACATAGAAGATTTTTGTTGAAAATTATTAAATTGGATAAAAATTAATTTAATTTGGTTGGGAAATACCTTTAAATAGACAACATTCTATAGAATGGCTCGGCTTCTCTACCAAAGACAGAAGTAATGAGTTAGGGTGTAAAGATAGGCGCTGCCTGTCAAAAATGCCTTTCAATAGGCAGAGACTATCAAGGATGTCTCTGTTTTATATTACTCATCAAGTAAATGGCCAAAAATAAAATGACTAAGGAATCCTGAATGTCCCGACGCTAATTTTGGTCTTCTTCTGGTTTACAATAATTTATAATTTACTGGACTATTTTGTCAAATAATTTTATTTGTTCATCATAGTAAAAAATGGTAAACGTTTTGTATTACTGAGGAACGATAAAATAGGGTACAATATATTTTGCACCAGCCAATTAAAGATTGTTGTAATGGAAGCAAAGGCAAAAAGGCATATCACCTGAAATGTTTTCCTGTTCAGTTTGAAACGAAATCTAATAAATGGGAAGAGCTTCAGTCTTAATCTTAACTTTTAAAAGTTTTTTTTTTATTTAGTTACGAATTCGGAGATTGATTTGGTTTTAATCATTAATAGAAAGAAATGAAATAGCTAACCTTCATTAAGATTATAAGGCAAGTCGTAACGAGAGATTAAAGAATCTGGCTCCATTCCCGCCTCGTGAACGTCCTCTCTAGTAGTTCCGAGACCAAACTTGTTCAAAATCCATTGTACTACAGGTTTTCCGGAACTCGTATCATGGAAGAGACTTTCTTTAAGTCGACATGCAAGTACGAATGTGCTATTCAACGTTACGGACTGACTGATTGGATGTTGGATGAAATATTCAGAACCATCGAGTCCACGGCAGTCTGGCACGCTGACGAGGGCATAAAATACTACGCATATGAGTGCTAAAATAAGTAAAAAAATTGCAGATGCACAAAAATTTTGGAAGCGAACAAGGGATTTCATAACTAATGATCTAACTGACTTCATTTTTATTCTAATTTGCATTTGCATATCGACCCAGACCACAAACACTAACTATTGACGCCGGCGTTATCAGTTATAACTAATTGACGATTAGAACTTCAGACATTTAATACAAATCAAAAGTTCACTCATTAAAATTTTTACCAATTGGACATATTGAGAGAAATGGTTTCACCAAATTTTAGGTTTCAATATTTGCATAAATTTATTTATTATCAAATTAAAAATCTTCTCAGTTTCCAGAATCTTCATTTTACTATTGCATATGCTAGGAAAATAGAAGATTATGGTTGCTGATATATGTCCAAATCGTAGCAAATTACCAGGAATAAGTTCTCAAATACGGAGTGTGCGATAGACTTACCTCCACGTGGTGCACCCTGGTCAACGTATACTCATACGGCAAAAAATTCTGTTAACTGGCAGTTGACTTCTGACTTCTTACTACTATGGCCCGACTGAATGTCATCTTCGACCACTTTCTCAGTACTTACCTTGCATTTTCTCTACTTTTGCGTCCGTTTGACACTTACATCTGTGAACCACTCTTCTGTTTCCCACCCCTCGACTTTCCGTTACCTTGATGTTCCTCTCCCTCTGTGAAGCCTGAAGTCAACTAAAGGGCTAATGATAACTATTAAAACGCCTGCCATTTGAAAAAAGTTCCCGAATACCTATACCACATGTTCTGCAATAAATTACAGAGTCGCTTTAAAAATCAAGTAACGCAGAATCTAAATTTAATATGCCATTATGATTAGCATAAAAAACTGTTTTTTTAAATGATTGACCCTCAGTTATATTTCAAAACTACACTGGTTGGGTATGCCGATCGGCAAAAGAAGCCGTGGAGTCAAAAAATCAAAGCATTTATAGCATTAGAGCTTTTGATCTCGATCACTATCTACAGTCTTAATCAAGTTAATTCTATTTAAATGTGCAATTAAAGAAACCCAACTTGAAAAGACCTCGAGTAAAGGATATCAGGAATGGAATTTGTTTGAAAGCATAGCTTTCTCCTTCGTAAAAATAATATATTTATTTATTTAGTGAAGTAATTAATGATAATTAAATACCTTGGACAACTAAATGCTAGTGGTGTTCTTAGACTGGACGCGCATGCTTTCCAATTGAAAATATACTTATTGAATTTATATCAGAGTCTAGCTTAACTAATTGAAATGCTTCTGTATTTTAGACATTTATTAGTGAAATAACGATAAATCCCTCTTTTTTAATTTTCAATTAATAATAATAATTATGTACGTCATACAACTCGAAATGAACCGTAATAGGTTTTTGCGATAACAACAAAACCATGTATTATTCTTCTATTGACTGAGATGTCAGCTTATTTTGCGTTAGACATGACTTTATTTGATTTTTATCACTTCCAAATTATTGGTAACTCCAATTTTATGTCCATATTTCTTTCTCTCAAATTATACTTTATTTCTATCATTCATTTATACAGTTTAAATTTAAATTACTGTACATACAACGTCACAATGGAGTGAAAAATTTAAATCGAAAATTCACATTTTCATAGAAAGTTAAAGAAAACTGTGGAGATAATCTTCTCAAAATCGAAAACAGTTAAAGTTTCACGTTTTGAAAATATTATTAATTATTTGGCATTAATAAAACTGAGAAATGAACACCAAAATAGAAACTTTAAATATACACGTGTTAGGACTTACGAAAATACTTTGCCTGTAGATCTTTCATCATGCAATTAATTTTTGAATTATTTCAGCAAGTTACTTCCAGATTCAAATCTAAAATAAAAACAAACAGCAAAATATGCATAGGTACAAATTAGCTTAAGCTATTTTTTTCTGAAGAAAGCGAGTGTCAACTTGGTTAAATAGGAGCTAATGGATATCGTATCAAGTAAAAATGAAAGTGACATTCGAAAGGTAGATGCGTCTATATCCAACGCAAAATTTAACTCACTGAAGGAGGTTAAAGAAAAAAGCTTCCTCCTCTTTGGTGAAGACAGAGACGTAATAATAAGAAATGAATCATGGAATTTAGTATCAAATAGGGAATAATCCGTCCCTAGTGTTATGCTAATTTGGACCGCGTGTGCATATGTGTCTATTATATCAACTAATGTGTTTGGCCAAACAGTCATTTGCATATCTAATACACTCTAAGCTTTAGCTATGGAGAAGGTATGTAGGTCATTTTTTGCGAAATATTCTATGGCTAGAAAAGTGGCCAACAAACGAATCGCATTCGACTCTCCGCCCACTTTCACCACTGAAAGTACTTCTTTGTTGTAAAATAGGGTGAAAGTAATCGTGCTGCTGAAGTTCGCAGAGAATGAGCAACGCGTTTAAGTTAATAAAACTATTTAATCCGTGAAATTTCAGAATATAAGGGTTGATTTTATTCGCAATTAATATTTGGGATGAAGGTCTTTTTCAACTTACTTTTCTTTCAGATCTTAAGAATACAAACTGCCGCTTTCTACAGGGTCTGCAGAAGAAAATTTTAAAGTTTTAGCTGCCAACGCTGTGTATAAATTCTGATATGTAACACAAATAACTGTTGCTGGATGTGGATGAGAAATTGTGGTCCGTTGAAACGTTTAGGATCAAACCCTATCAAATCAGAAATAAACGTCTGAATACGCAAAAGGCATTTACCACAAAGTGTCCTCAGCTGTCCACCCAATTAAATTACCTCCACATCTCACTTTTCCAGAAAATTTTTATTAATAATATTTTTTGAAATTAAAATCAATAAGGATTTTCAGCTGGCATTTTACTTATTCCGTAATTAAGCAGCAAAGCAAATCTTTTGCTCGGTCAACCAGAATAAAGTTAATTAAATTAACCGATAAAAATGCTTTTACCCTCTCGCAATTATGAAGGAACTTTCATATAATAAGAACAATTTATCAGTGTAGCCGAAGGAAAGAATACCTTTAGCAATCTACCATTTAATGCTCTTTTAAATTGAAATTAACAAAAGTACTGAAAAACAAACTTTGAATGGAATTTGACCGTTTTATTGTTTGCAGTGCTTTAAATCATTATCTATTTATAAAAATTTATCAAAAATTAATTTTTCCCTTCCATTTAAAGATTATGTTTCAAAATATTTAGCTGCCACATTTGTAATGCGTTGAGACTAAATGCGGATATTCGTCGAATAAGATCTTCCTAAGTAGGAATGAACTGAAGTGGTAAAATCGGCCATCCAAATCAAATCAATCGCCAAAAGACGCTGAACATCGTGCACAAGCCTCTGGTGTAGTTCCGGTTGGAATCGTGCATTTTGCTTCGTGAAGTCTGCACATAGCAAATATTACACTATTTGATTTCAATTTTGACACCTTCAAGCTCCTATCAGCTTCTTTTCACTTCATTCCAGTTTATAATTTCCCAGAATTTCTGTTAACAGTTTTCAGCTGCTTCCTACAACTGAAGTATTCCAATATCTCGCTCAAACCTGGTTAGTTATTGTAATAATATTTCCAAAGGTGGTAGCAATAGTGCTTCTAAATTAAGCAAAACACGGAAGTCGACGGAGCCTTTGGACTAGTTTGCGCAAATATCAAATTTAAGTAGCAGGTTGGTTATAGTTTTCCAAAAAAACAATTTGAATGGATGAAAAATTGCCTCGTTGTGAACAGCTGTTTAAATGAGAGATTATAAATCATTATTTTTCGTAATTTTCTGCATTTGGTGCTTATATATACCTATAAGGGATGCTTCATAAGAGTAAAAGTGAACTGAAAGTGGAAATATCACTTCACATTACGATAAAGTGAGCTAGTCAAATCGAATGACTCTTATAATTTAATCCAGAGCTTTCATGTAATCAAGGTACTAATATAATAAGTGCTTTTTATTGGTGTAGCCACCCAATTATGACTCATAAGTTTACTCAACATAGACAGTCCTAGGGTGACACACAAGTGGCTATATAATAGAAGAACTTCTTAAGCTTACCAAATTGAAACCTTCACGTACCAACCCACTTTTGCGCAAATAAATAAGACGATTAGACCAGATATCCCTACTACCCTCTGTTTGCATGTCCTATTGTCCTATCATTAATCCATCTCCCACTAGCATTCAAGACCACTGGGTCTTAAAGTGAAAATCGGAGTTAAATTGTAAAAGGAGAATTTTAGGAAGTAACGCCACTTTGACATACATAAGGTTTCATTGAACATCATCTGTAAAATGTGATTAAGGAATTGAAATATTCAAATTCCGTAATTTTAGTAATCGATTTTCAATAATCTCATTTCCAGATTGAAATGGCTTAGCTGACTAAAGAATTGATTTACATAAAAATACTCCCTGTTTCCCTTTAAAATTAATTATGATTTCGGCTATTTGACTGCAATTATCTGGATCGTTTCAATACTTATATTTTAAACTCCATATATAATTCACCTTGTCTTCGATATTCCAGGAATGTTTTTTTTCTAAAATGTCATCACCCAAAGAGACTATGAAAAGAGGTTGTTTGATCTTGAATTTAAGTTGAGTCAAAATCTTTCATACTTATTTACAATCTTACTCAATTAGTCCGTTCCTTAATTATTTTGCTGACTTTATGTGAAATGTTGGCTATTCTTGACTACATTTGATTTAAGCCTCCGCGTTGAGAAATCATTTTCTCCAGAACGCCAACCGGTTTGGGATTAAATTATACAAACAATTAAAAAAAGGCTCAAATACGTTTTTATGCCATTTGACTTTTAATGTTACAATATTGCTATTTATCGTAGCTAATTTATGTTATCAAGATTAAACTTACTCCCGGGAAAAAATGCCCCATTTCAGAGAGTACTTAATTTTGAAGCGTTGCGAGTTAAATGTAAACATATTTTTAAATTAGAATTTATAAAACAGAGTTTGCACTTATGTTTGGACAGTTGGTACACCAAACCATTCCGTACCTAACGATAAGTAACACTCATTTATCAATTAAAAAAACTACATATACAAATGATTGAACTAATTAATTTTAATACCCAAATATTTATAAAATAAACTTGATTTGACTCAAATCAAATCTAAATTTCTTATTCGTAGTTTTAGCTAACCAATTTGTACTTTTTGGTATACTTCGTATTAATTAATTATGTATATGGATCAAAAAAGCCTGGAAGTAAATCGCGCAAAATCCAACAACGTAACACTGACATTCTATCCGCTAGCTAAAAATATTAGGTTGCAATAAAACAAATTAATGCTGAAATATCTCTTGTTCAAGTACTATTTCAATTATATTTTTTACTTTTCAAGTATTATAAGATAACATCAGTTATTGAGACATGTATTCTGGCTTTGAAAGTTTAGCTGTTGAATTTAGCGATTTATCAATACGAGCGTGCAATTCGACTACTAAGCATTATAAAATCTAGATAATTCTCATTCTATTTCAAGCTCAATCACGATTAACCCATTTCAATCGCCGCATTTATTCTTGGAATTACTCTTGCATCAGCCATAAATTCAGTTAGGAGGATAAAATGTGAACTTACCCAAACTTTTAATGCGTGGGATAAGCTGCTAATAGTCCACAAACAATGAAACCCGTTAACATTGTATCGTAATAGCATGGAGACAAAAACTGAAAGTGTTCGAATACAGATCACAACTCCAAGTAATCACACATGCGTATGCCTGTGAATCCCTGACGCATGCACTTGAATGCTGCTTTGGGGTTAATATTTCTGCTGCGACGAGTGTAACTACTTTCAATTCGGCTCCTGCCTAACCCAGGTATTTTATTCGTACGGCCGGGAAGCGCGTGCCGAAGTGCGGCCGTGTTTTCTCTGCGTGCGAGGGTGCGTGCGATGTGTGTGTGTGAAGAATAATGAGAAGGGAATTTCCCCATATAAGTGAGGAAAGCACATCAAATCTCTTTCTCTCGCTCTCTTATCCCTCTACAGGTGCTATTAGGCCCATCGTTGCTACTCCAACACTGAACCTCTGGGAAACTGCCGGTTTGTGATTTATATTGTTCATTAGTAAATTGTGCTGCGCAAGTGTAGGTAATGCGTCTCTGTCCTGAATTTCGGTAGATCAGGCCTGTCCATGGATATATTACATACGAGAGTTAATCTCGCCTTCATGAGCTATTTATGAAACTCCCATTTAATCGAAAAGTTTTCTAGATAATAGTGGATTATTCTGAATTCATATAATGCCTTAATTCAATTCATGCACACATATGTAGGTTTTTAGACTTATTTATTCAATGAAATAATTGAAATAACCAAGTGAAATTTTAATTTTTAATTGAATTAAAGCAACGCAAATGAGGTTAAGTAAAAGCCTAAAGTGAAGAGAATTAAAAATGAGATCCGTAAAGGAGTGGAATCATTTAATCTTTAAATTAGTGTTGGAGAAAATTCAATTAATTAATAATTTGTGCTATCACGTTCCAAAATTCTAATTTCCTACTTCGTAAATCGATTTATAACCAATTTCGGTAGTGTCCGATGTATTGAAACGAAAGAC